TCTCTATGGTGCCCCTGTAGAACAATGTGAGGATGGAAGAAGGGAGGTTTGCTCACTTCAGGCATCTTAAGACACTGCTGTGCCTTGTAAAGATGAATAAATGCAATAAATGCATAAGTGTAGTTTCACGACTAGGACTAGGTAAAAACGGCTAGGTGAAAACACATTTATTGCCTTTCATATTTCCCATTGATCCAAATTGTACAGGTTAGCAGGTATGGGGGGAGACTTACAGGGGAAGGGGTGACAGTGCTGTCTAGGGAATACATTGTTGTAGTTCCAATAGCATCTTTTCTAATTTACACTTCACTTCATTCAGTACCCTAATCCTTATAATTATTGTTGTTCTCAAGGAGCCCAAACTAATTCCAAATACATTTCTGTTTGTTATCTTTGAAGAAGTTTCACTAAATGCAGGGGAACTAGCTCTCTGGCTGGGAGACGTAACTGTAGTTAATTTTTCAGTTGTGCCACTATATAACAGCAATGTAGCCGTAGCTGTCTGTGAGTTTCCATTGTTTTCTTGAAGGCCACTCCTGGCTGTGTTGTATTTGATTATGAAGAGCAGGTTTGCCTGTAGTCTCTGTTCATAATGCTTTATATTTTCCTTTTTTGGAATAACCACTTTGGAGATTCAAAATGGTCTCACCCTGAAGAGCACTTTCCTCATTCTTTGGGTTATAGAGTTTTGGATACCTGTTTTTTAAAAAGCTTCAATGCCTTATGAAAGACAACTCTAACCAAATCTGATGTTATAAGAGGGATACTAAAGAATACCAGTGATGACTCCTGCGCAGTCCAGTTATATTAAGTACCTTTTTATACAGTGCCCTTCACTATGGCCTTCCCAGAGTCTTCATTGCAGATGTGTGTTACATGCAGACTTTGAAAATGCTGAAGTTGGTGGATGAGAAGAAAACAAGGAAGGAATGAGAGAAAAAAAATCCCTGGGTGTTTGAATGATCGCAGAAGCACCTGGCCAATGAATAACAGATAGTTAATCCTGTTGTAGTCTCTGTTTGTTTCTTCTGCTTGCAAGGCCCATCGCTATTATGGAATGACTAAGACTAAGCTGGATAATGAAAACCTTTGCATATTCCAAGATGTACTTCTGCACATAAATAATGGAAAGTTCCTAAGAAGTAATTTATTTTTGAATCAAAGGACTTCTTTAAAATGAAATCAACAACATTAGCGGCAATGTTATGTATGTTGCTTCAAAGCTTCTATCACAGCTTGAACACACACACAGCTCAGTTAGCAATATACCTACCAAATTGGTGTACTAAAAATCACTGAACTTGAAAATTAAACAAACTCCAAACACAATGATAATGACTTTATTTACAATATTTACAAATGCCAGTAGTGCAACATGATACACAAAAAACTGTCACTCTTCGTTGCAATGAAATGCTTATGTGCTGCTTCATGTGACAGAATGAATGAATCAACACCTCTGACAACCTGTGAAGCTTGTCATTTGTAAGTGTTAATGTTATAAGTAGTTGCAATGTCTCCCAAACAGCATGCAGAGAAGCTTGGCTTCCAGGAGAATCTACAATATCTAGCTGCAAGTCTATCTGTCCAATCAACATTGCCTAAGCAGAAACTATGTATGAAGCTCTCATAGACTCCCAGTGAAGCACAGCATCAGTGGGCATCTATGGGCTGTATATATCATTCATAGTTTTAAAAGGAAAGTTAACACATATGTTGTCAACAGCCAAATGCAGTGGTTCAGTTAATAATAGATTACACTTTTAATTGCAAAAGAAATAAAATAATTTAGATTTACTCATTGACTAATTCAGTTCTTTCAGCAGTTTCATAGGGAAAGTCATGCTCCTACAGTATGTCAATTCTTAGAGCAGTGTTTGTCAACTCAGTCCCCAGGGACCCCCAGATGGTCCATGTCTGCCAAACAGACTGTAAGGGAAAAAATATAGACTATCTTGGGGTTACCAAGGATCGGGTTGAGAAACAAATGCTTAACAGCAATCACTTGGGCTTCAGACCCTTGACCAACATTTGCTGAAGAGTGTAAGAGAACAGTGTGATTGAATCTTTTTGAACAACATGCCAGTTTTGTGTTCCAGTCAGCAATCTAGGCTAGAAATTGTGCACCTATTAGAAGAATATACAGTAGTCTTAATTATCTGGTTCCGGATTAGCACAAAATGTAATTAATGGGAAGTGTGTCTCCATGGCAATGTGGCCATAGTCAGGGCTTAATTTAATGGAGGTTACTGTTTGAATCACATAGGGAATTTGCTAGGATCTGAACATTTAAATCACACGATCCCAGGCCACAACAAACACTAATTAGGAAGAGCTAATGGCCGGCTAAATAAGATGCAAGCATTGTTGTCTCCAGTTTAATGGGACTCATCTGTAGTACACTGCCCAGAATGGTTTCGTCAGACAAACTCATGATTAAGTTGAAATTGATGTTTTCCATGTTTAATAACCCATTAACAACCTTTTATCACAATATGTCAGTTATCTAAGCCTAAAACTTTTTTTTTAAGCAAATTTGTTGAAATCTTGTCTGTTGGATTAATTTATAATTATTGTAATTTATTATTGGAGTTTTGTTTACATAACAACAGTGGCCTGTGGCCTGTACTACAAAGCGGGGTTACTGGCTTGTCAGTATTTAAGGTAGTCTGGCAAAATTTAAGTTAACGAATATGAAGTCCATGTAAACAACATTAATATCTTGGAAACTAAAGCAGCACAAAGGACAGTTTTAACGGCACAAACCAGCACGGCACAAACTGGTGTCACGTGACCATGTAAACAAACATTAATATCTCAGAAACTAAAGCAGCACAAAGGATAGTTTTAACGGCACAAACCAGCACAAACGCAGCACACACGATTGCGATCGGTCTGGTGGAAATCAGATGCAAATGGGGGGCCAACTTCACGCTGATGACGCCACCATGTAAACAAACATTTATATCTCAGAAACTAAAACAGCACAAACAAAAATTTCAAACGGCACATTCTGGCACAAACGCGGCACATACGATTGAGAACAGTTTGGTTGAAATCTGAAACATATGGGGGGCCAACTTCACGCAGGTGTGATACCCTCATTTTATCGGTCTCAGCATAGCCAAAACGGTTTATGTTTTTTGGTTTATTATGCCGAGATGCAATTACATGGGAGAGAGTTTTGGGGGGCAACTTAAGTTAAATACAGAGGTTTGTTTATTGCGTGGGAGGTGAATGAATCCAAATTCATAAATGAAATATAATGGGATACATGTTCCCCTGCCCCCCTGGTACCTGTACCTGTGGCCGGATGTGTAGATAAGGAGGAGTGACCACTGCAACCCTTTTTCCTTGTCCCCTGGTCCTTTTGGGTCTTCAGACTCTGTGGCCAGCGGCAGAATACATGACAAATGTTGAATGTTCACTCAGTGCCAATCTGAAATATATTATGTGAGAAATGAGGAGGCCTCTTTGTCTTATATTTATATTAACTCATGGGATACCCCACCGTAGCAGGTTGGAGAGAACCTGTGCAGGTTGTTGTAAAGAGCAACTTCTACAACTTATGATCACATTTTTATCTTCCATGTAAGTATACTGGGGTAATGTTGCCAAACACCTCTGGGGATTTGGTTTTATTTTTTGCCCCCAGATTTCAGCGTGGTGTTGTCATGTTCTTTCCATATCTGTGGGTAGTTCAGTTTCTTCCCAATTTCTTCACATAATGTTAAAAGTATCAAAATAGCCAGCAAGGGACTGGAAGCCCATCCACAATGTCTTCTGCCTTGTGGTTCCTGGGATAGGCTCCAGGATCATCGTGACCAAATGGATGGTTTTATATAATTATTTTTTTTCATATACTTCGTTTTCTTTTTTGCAAGACTTTGTATGAAATCTGTACTATAAAGAAATGACATTACTTGTATAGCCTGCTTCACAATGTGTCACTGACCAATGGTGTGAAGTGATTGGGATTATAATCACAGGGCAACAAGTTATAAATTGTGTGTGGCTGTCCTCAACTGTTAATTCTAACATTTGTGTCAGGACTGGTTACACTCTCAGAAAAAGATTTTTACCTTTGTCAATAGGGTTATGTCCTTGTAATTGTACCTTTTAAGGTACAGAAATGGAGTCTGAGGAGCAACCTAAAAGGTACAAACAGCATTAATGTACCATCAATGGTACAGAAATTTTTCTTAGTGTTCATTTCTGTGCCTTAAAAGGTACCATTACCTACAGCTAAGTGTTAAATTTGGCAGACCCTTGAGGGTACAGCCCCAGGGAGAAGCAAAGATACACATATTTACCCTTTTTTTCTGAGAGTATAGAAACATGCCTTCTGGTCTGCAGAGAGTTTTGGAAGCACCAACAGTAGCAGTCCAGAAGCTTAACTTTAATTCTTTATATACTTATATTCTTGTTAAAGTTTTGTGTTTTTTTGTCTGGCAGTAGAAGACATTTCAGATTTAAGGATTGATTTATTGATTGATATTGTGTTTTGTGTGTGACTTGCGGGGATGTTAATGAATAAGCTTTGACATGATACTTATGCAGAGGTCTTGAAAGGCCCCAAGCCTGCTTTCTGACCCCTGCCCCCTGGGAGATACCCAGGCATCTGTCCCGGGGAACCCAGCATTCCGACCCCTGCCTCCTGGAAGACGCCCAGGTGCCTTGTCTGGGGAGCCCAGCATTCTGACCCCTGCCTCCTGGAAGACACCCAGGCATCTGTCCTGGGGAGTGCAGTAATCTGACCCATACCCACTGGAAGACACCCAAGTGCCTGTCCTGGGGAGCCAATTTTTCTGACCTCTGCCTTCTGGAAGATACATAGGCACCTGTCCTGGGGAGCCCAGCTTTCTGACCCCTGCTTCCTGGAAGATGCATAGGCACCTGTCCTGGGGAGCCCAGCTTTCTGACCCCTGCCTCCTGGAAGATGCGTAGGAACCTGTCCTGGGGAGTCCAGCTTTCTGACCCATGCCTCTTTTTCTCGCCAGGGCAAGTATGGCAAGCGGAAGGGCCGCTTCAAGCGCTCTGACGGCAGCACCTCCTCTGACACCACCTCCAATAGCTTTGTCCGACAGGTAGGCCCCACTCTGCTGACCCTGCTCAGCCCACTCACTCTTCCTGCCTGCTCCTATTTTCATCCCATGTCATTTGGTCTGAGGTAGAGGAGTAACACTGACATGCCTGGTTTCTGAGGCTACAGTTTGATCATTTTGTACTGTTTTACCTTCTAAATACCTCACTGTGGTGTTTTAATAGGGATATGATAGACACCAGAAACACTAGACCAGCCATCCATTTAGAGGCCATAATTCTGCATCATTAGGCCCAAAGCCCTGTCACAGTGCCACTTGTTAGAAATCATATCATTTGATGATCACAATATAATTCAAATCATTATTTCTTTACTTCAGTGCTCAACTTAGGGCAGTTTGTTTCTGGGCTTTTTCTCTGACTGTCCCGCTGCTCATTTTAGGCCACCGGCTCAACTGTGCTGATGTCTGTGATAGTAAGTGCTTGCATTCTGTATGTCCTGGATTGCAGGGCTAAAGGGAGTGAAAGAAGTTTCTAGTATTTCCAGTTTTAGATGGCACAAATTTTCAGCAGAGTTTACAAGGCACAGTCTGCTGACCACCACACCATGTCTTTCTATCCATATCCATGATATCTCCTTTTTCAGAAGATGTTGTGGCTGCTGAGCTGTTGCTTTCTTCACTGGCACTTGACGCTTGACACTTGAGAAAGCGCTTATCTCTTCCAGGATATTATCAAAACAGTAGTATGTAGGGTGCTCCGCTAACTCAGTCATCCTTGCTGTGTGTTTGTTGGTTGTAAGTTGTCCATTCTTCAGAGACTACAGTATGATTGTTTGGATTTGCATTCATTTCTGTGATGTGACATGTCCTGATGTGTGATGTCAAACCATGTCACTTATAGACAGTAAATTGAATTTTCTCATTTTCTTATCATTTCAATTTTATATGATGTCAAGTGTATATACTGTTTATACAGTATAGTCCAGCCCTATTGATTGTAAATGTTATCATTAGTGGTCTTTGCTAACAAGTGGCTTTCCTTGAAGTAAGCCTTTGTTTGTCAAATGTTTGGGTTGTTCTGGTTAGCCCAATTCGGGGTATTGGGTATTGTTTTATAAGTGCTTTCATTCAACGAGACATCACTCACCGTGGTTGGAGCATACACTGAGACAACAGACAAGACACCCAAGGAGTGCCTTAGCCTGAGTCTCATAATACGCTCGTTGAAAGGAGTGACATCAGACACCATTGGAAGGAGCCAATCCACTACAGCAACAGCTACTCCCGAAATACGGAGTTTACAGAGCTCCTCTGACAGCAATGAAAGATGGACATCTAGCTGGATAGACAAGATGTTCCACGCGCTTACCTGGATGGGCCACCTCAAACTGGGACCCAAGTACTGCCATGCAGCAGGAGATGGCTGAGCACCACACCAGCCCTGATCCTCAACAGGTCTGACCACATTAGCTCTCTGATGGTTTCGAGTAGGCTGTAAAATTATTGTTTCACCTCAAGATACTGATTCATTAGGCAGGCAGTGGTGTGCACTTCTGCCACAGAGTTCTTCTCCATAGCAGCGTTTCCTCTTGTTATAGGGCCACGCTCAGCGTGTGTGAGGGACTGAGCATGAGGAGCTGTGCGTGAGGTGCTGGTACGGGGGGCCGGTACTGGAAGTCAGGGTCAGCAGGGAAGTACAGATTGGCAACTCAGCTGACAGAGATCATCAAAAGAATCATGGGGATTTACCTTCATTAGACTGAAGCATGTTGGACCTATGGCCAATATGGAAATGTATGTTAAATATGGTTCCCTCTTTAAAATATGCTAATTAAATGTATATAGGTCATTGGTAGGAGTTAGTAGTCATGATGGTCTGTGCATCCAAATGAATGCATATGTATTGGCTGCACGCTCAGCCAGGCGGCATTTGCAAATTGCTCTGGATAAAAGCCGACAACAAAACGTCACCTTAAAGAGAGAAGTAGCGACTTTAATGAAAGTTAGTCTACAGTCATCAAAGAAGATGATTCTTTGACTTGGAGACCTCCTGATGTCCTTTGGGCTAAAAAGCCCTGGTTAATTAAGACAGTACTTTGTTGTCTGAAATATATGGGTGATTCCTGTTTTGGGCAACATATTCATGTCTTTGTGTTTACCTGGCTCTTATTCTTTTATAAAATTAGACAAATCTTTATAACAACCTATTTTATTATGTGTTTAGGTGTTTTCTATTGCTCTAACAAAGATAAATTATTGTTTTTATCTTTTTACATCTCTTTAAAGCACCATTTCTCTGGAATATGCGCTCATTTTAGCATGTCCCAAATGCAATGTATTCAACTCAGTATATTTCTTAATTATTTATGTTACTACAGTGGTATTATTATTATTATTATTATTATTATTATTATTATTATTATTATTATTATTAGTTGTAGTAGTAGTAGTATTGTTGTTGTGAATCTGAATCTAGTTGTTAGGAGGCCTACTCCATTCCACCCTGTTATATTCTATTCCACCCTGCTAGGCAATAATTTAAAAAAAATATTCTAATCACAACAGTAAGTGTTTGGTATATTTGTATATTGTTTTGTTAAATGAGGTACATATAATGCATCTACATATACTTTTATTTCTAATTAATAAAATTCCTCATACAAGACAACAAAATGGGGACACAAAATGCACAGATTCCATTATTATGACATTTTACTCTTCAGAAAATTAAAACTGTTAATGCTACAAGAATGAAAGTTTTATCATAGCAAAAGGGGCACATTGTATCCCAGAAAAGTTCAGTATTGTTCGACTTGTACATTATTTAAACTCTGTGATTACCATGTACATGTCCCTAACAGGGTGGAAAACGTCTATAGAAATACAGTATATACAAAAAACATCCTATAGTTACAATATGTTCAACCCCTGAGCTTGGCAGACATGCATTCCTTATAGCTAAGTATGGTATAGTCCTGACAAAATGTTTAAACCATAAAATACAATCATTCCAATTTTCAGAAAACAGACAGCCAAATATGTGGTCCGAAACAGGAATCACCCATATGTATTTTAAAGCAGTATATTAAGACAGAATAAAATGTATATTCATGTTACAGGGGAAATGACCTTGGATCTATGGAGAAACATGGAGAAAATGTGAGTTTGCAATCATATCTCCATAGCCAGGCCAGGACAGAAGAGCTGAGTGCACAGGTCTTAACAGTAGCTACTGCCCCCCAGTTATGAAAATATTTCACACAGCATTAATAAGCCTACATTTGAAATGCATCATGCATTTAATTTGCATGAAATCTTTAGTTGTGTGTTACTGTCATTTAGCAATGGGCTTTCCATCCAGTTTCTGCTGTGCCAGCTTCAATAGTAATTTGAGATTATTTGCCTTAAGAAGCTCCATTATACTGATGTCCTTTCAAAGCTGTACCTCTGCCTTGTGTTCTACATTCCCAGCCTGCCATGACCGCAGTATGGATGGATGGGTGGATGGACTCTAAGCTTTTGCTTTCCCTTTAAACTGTGCTGACACATGCAGGGTACTCTCTGGCTTTAAGTGCTTTGGCTTGGGGTCAGGGAAGCCTGCATTTCCACCTGGATGCATCTGGTATTGCCTGGCCTTGACCGTTTCCCTCTGTACCTTTATGCTAATTTGATTTTGGGGCGCAAATGTGACTCCCATGTGACATTATTGTCAAAAAAAGTCCATGAGAGCCGACAGTATAGTGTTTTAGGGCTGTGTTTCTCAGTCCTCGGTGACCCATACACAGTCCTCATGTCTGCTCCTTCTCAGCTCCTTGTAACAGGTGTTTGGTGTTTTTGATTGGCTGGGAACTCAAAGGAATCAAAATGTGGACCATGTGGGGGTTTCCGAGGACTGGGTTGAGAAACACTGGTTCTGGAGGTAACCTGAAGGTTGTTGGTTTGAATTCTGGAGTTAGAATCATAGTATTGAACTGTGTGTAATAACTGGCAAATGTAAAGTAAAGGCCTAGTCTATCAACTAGGGCTAGGCAATTAATCAGATTTTAATTTCAGTTATGACTTTGGCTTCCAACGATAATCAAAACAAAATAATCAAGATGAAACAATTATTGTGCCTCATTTGTGTTACAAATCCAGGGCACCCCCTTCCAACCCCTTTATATTTGCTTCTCATTTGAATTATATTTACAGTTCAAGGAAAACCACTGTTAAATAGACAGTTTTTTTTTATTTCCAGAAATGCCTGATGTTTCCAAAGCCAATGAGTAATTGTGTTAAATAATTGTGATTTCAGTATTGGCCAAACTAATTGTGTGATTATGATTTTTATCAAAATCGAGCAGCCCTACTATCAACCATCTTTCAACCACTTAAACTAGTCAGAGTTGCAGGGGGCCTGGAGCCTGTCCATTACAAAATACAGTCATATTCCACTCTTGCCAGTTAGCTTCACTGCCTGTTTTTGGCCTGTGGGAGAAAATGCAAACTACAGAAACCCCCAATCCTGGAGGTGTGAGCCAACATCTCTGTCCACTGAGCCACCGTGCAACCCATAGATCTTCAGTGATATTCACTCACTGGACTTCTGATCCATAATTCTTTAAATCAAATGATTACCCAAAGGTAACTGTTATTCTGACTTGGTCTTTAATTTTTGTTTAACATTAGGACTGTCTGTATGGGTGCTGTATCTTTAACCTATAAACTGCTGTTCTACAGTACATCCACTGCCCTGCTTGCCTTCTTATATGAAATGGGCCCCCAAACACTGCCTGCTGCTGGAGCACAGTCCCCAGCGGACTGTGTGATTTGTGGACCCCATCACCCCCATCCCAAAGCTTCTCCAGTTAGCTCCCATGACAGAGCTGAAGGCTCTTTTAGCCTGATTGAGGCTATGCTGTGTTAGATGAGGGGGGTGATTCCTGTAGCTTCTGTCTGGGCTTCATCCTACAAGGGCTAAATATAATACAGAACTTTGCAAATGTAGCACAACTTCTGCAACCTGACCTGCCTCCCACCACCGCCCACCCTCCCCCATTACCCTCTCTCCCGTTCTCCCTGTGGTTTGGTTTTGGAGGTTTGGGATTTGGACTCGTTCGTCTTCTTGGGAACTCGCTCTGTTAGCTGCCTCCTCTCTCACGCACAAACGCGACCCTTCCAGGGCACCTCATCCACACACACCTTGGCCTGAGCCGGCCGCTCCATCTGCCAGCGTGCTGAGGTGTGCTGTGGAGTGTCGAATGCAGGACCTGAGCAATGGAGAAGCATGTGGTCACTCTGGTAAGCCTGGCAGCTGGGCCTTTATGCTGGGGGGGTGTGTTTCCATCCTTCATGCAGCGCTCTGCATGCTTGCCTGTTTGGGTCCAGTTCAGTTGGTGGCAGTGAACATTTACATTTGGTTTATCCCCCCCTTAGTTTCCTCTGACTACAGTATCTTCATTTTTAGATGATCCACGTCGCTAGTTTGTAAATCCCTTCCAGTTCTTCTTACTGCCAGCTTATTGTGTTACAGAGTTTTGGCAAACTTACTCACTGGCCCTACCATAAGTGTGGACATGAAGGCCATTATATGTGTATGCTTCATATATTTTATCAATATATCCAAACCCATTTCCTTTTAGTAACCTTTGTATTTTAATTTCACACTAATTTCTTAATTAAGATTTTTAAATTTCTTCAAAACAGGTATTTTGCACTGAGATTTAAAAGGTTCTTTCCATCTTCAGCTATTAAATGTCATTGAAAGTATGCACCAAGTGTGTTTAATGTGACTTATGCTGGTGCATTTATAGATATAGACAATGCCTGTACTTTCTGTCCACTGTGTTTTTTTGGGTTTCAGTTTGTGCCTGTTTTAAATATGAATAGTCCTACACAAAAGACTGGCTTGGATGTTCCTGATTCCAATGCTGCAGGTCAGCATGAGGGACCAGCGAACTGTGATACAGGACAGCAAGGGACATAGTGACATAAATAGACAGAGGGACACCAAGGAACAGACGGACACCAAGGGACATATGGGCAGTAATGTAAACAGGAACAGTAATGCAGACAGTAACTGTAGATGGACAGATTGCTTTGAGTCGCATTTGTTACTGATACTTGACCGTTGATCAAAAGAGTGCCTTGCTCTCTTCAGTGTTGTTGCTTTTGTATCTTTGAATAGACAATCATTTAGTCTTTCAGCAGTTCATCAAATCTCAGTATCTCTAAATGTTTATTGTCATTGGTATCGCTATAAGTACTAAGTTCAATGACATGTTTACTTGCCTGTTTCCTGCAGACTGGGTAAATGAGCACAGGGTAGCAAGACATAGAACAAACACAATGGTAGAATTAATATCAGTATGAATATGCAAAAATAAACATGGATATGGAGACATATATGTATATGGAAGAATAAATATGGTATAGATATCATGTTATGGTATAGACATCATTTCAAATATTGTGTGACACCAGAGATACAAACTACTAGGGTTGTAATTCAATCCAATTCAGTTCAGTTTTATTTGTATAGTGCATTTTCACAAGATTACATTGTCTCAAAGCGCTTTACAGCATCCCTGCCCAAAGCCCCCATTGAGGAAGCCGGAGGCAACAGTGGCAAGGAAAAACCCCCAAGAAAGAAGAAACCTTGTTAGGAACCAGACTCAAAGGGGGAAGCCCATCCTCCAGAAGCTGGCAGAGGAAGTCAAATTGAGCAAGATAGCGAAGTCCAAATTTTTACATTTGAGTCTCAAAGTGAGGGGCAGGCAGGTTCCTGGTGCTGTTTTAGATGACAGGACGAACAGTGGTACAGCAGCAGGGCATACAGGGAAGACGTCACAGACAGAAGGGCAAACAGGCTGGAAAGACGCCACAGGTAGTGGAGATGTTGCAGACAGCACCTTAGGAGGAGTAGGGGGAATAACGTGCAATTAGCCAAAGTAGGGGAGACTAGAGGCAGTGCAAACCGTTAGGTGAGTGCAATATGTAAGCTCTGGCAGATAAGGTTATGGCAGCGTAAGTTGGAGGGAGAGGAAAGTGGGAACGCAGGTATGGGAAGTCCCTAAAACGTCAACATTTCAATTTCACGAGGGAGTGTGAAGCTAGAGTGACAGCACTGACAGTTCAGTTCATTTAAAGCCAATGGCACCAACCCCACCCAGGTCTAACTGAGAGTGAGCAGTTAGCTAGAGCTAGAACTAGAGTCCCTACAAGCTAGACTAAACAAGTTGCTTTTAGTCTGGACTTGAATAATGTGAGTCTGAATCTCGCACATCCAATGGAAGACTATTCCACAGCTGAGGAGCCCTATAAGGGAATGCTCTGCAGCCTGCTGTAGTTCTTTGTAACCTAGGTACTAATAGATATTCTGCTCCTCGAGATCAAAGCAAACAAGGAGGGTTTTATGAGGCCAGTAGATCTCTAAGGTACTTTGGTGCAAGGCCATTAGTGCCTTGTAAGTTAATAGCAGTATTTCATAGTCAATCCGAGACTTAACTGGAAGCCAGTGAAGGGAGCATAGAACAGGGCTAATATGATCAGTTTTTTGTTTGTGTTTGTAAGAACTCTGGTTGCTGCATTTTGTGCTAGCTGGAGTTTATGTAAAGATCTGGATTGGCAACCAGAAAGGAAGGTACTATACTAGTCCAGTCTGGAAGTTATAAAGGCATGTGTAAGTTTTTCTGCATTCCGAGGCTTGGCTATGTTCCATAGATAGTGGAACGCAGGTTTAGTAATACTACTTATGTGAGCATCAAAACATAAATCTGAATCAACCAGAACAGCAAGATCTCTGATCACTGTGTTAAGTATTGTAGGAAGACCACTGAGGTTGAGGTTGTCAAACCTATTTCGAAGTAGCCTTGGGACCAACTAACAGTACTTCTGTTTTTTTTTTTTTTTGGGGGGGGAGGGAGGAGGTTAACATAAGGACATTTTTTTGCCATCCAGCACCAGATATCCAGTAGACAATCTTCTAACAGAGAGAGCTGTGATGCACCATTTGGATGCATCATCTATATATAATTATGTATCATCAGCATAACATTGAACCCAACACCGTTTAGGATTGTTTATGTTCTCTTCTATTAGTCTGGAGAGACACACAGACTTGGCAGTCGCTAGTGCTTGTATATACTTAGAGAGGTTCTCTTTTCAGGCAGATCTGAAAACATCTAATTTAGTTGAGCCCCATTTTTGCTCTAGCTTGTGCAAAGCCTGTTTAAATTCACATGCATGATCAGAGTACCAGGGGGCAAGTTTCTTATCTCTATGTTTTATCTTAAGTGGAGCTACAAGATCTGCGAAATGATTTCACTATGTTCACGGTTACCTATTCAAGTTCATTTTCACACGAGGCTTCAGATGCAAGTTAAGTTTGAAGGACTGTGGAAGTTGGTTGAGAAACATTGTTGTGGTTAATGAGGCTATGGAACATCTGATACTGTACTTTGGAGATGGGGCCGAAGGGAGGCTATACTGTATTTCAAACATTAACAAGTAATGAAAGTAAAGGATTCTGAGGGATAATACTGTAGATACATGTTCCACCAGGATACCATGGCTAAGAATCAGATCCAGGGTATGGTTACAGGCATGAGTAGGCCTGGCTACATTCTGACATACACCTACAGAATCAAGAATAGCAGGAAATGTTGTTGTTTAAGGATCACTCTCATTCTCCATGTGAATATTAAAACCTGCAAACTCCTTAAGAAAATTACTGTATGTACCAGGCGGTCTATACACAATAACAATGGTGATTGGAGGTGAACTACAAGGAGATGAGCCAGCTAGCCTAAGAACAGGAATTTCAAATGTGCTAAAGCAATAGCCACTTTTCTCAGGGTCTCCTAGGTTAGACTGAAATATTGCAGCAACACCACCGGTCAAGGGGTATGCTTATAACTGTAATCAGCTGGAGTAGATTCATTTAGTGCCATGAATTCATTTGGTTTATGCCAAGTTTCAGTAAGGCATAAGGCACCAAGACTAAAATAATTTCATTTATTAGTAGTGCCTTAGGAGCCAATGATCTTACATTAAAAAATCCAAGGTTTAGCCTTGCATTACACCTATTATCTAATCATGGATTTGGTTTAATTTTTATTAAGTTATTATGCTTAAACAGTATAAGACTACAACTTATAAACCTGATAAAGGGCGCAGCCATCTTGGATTCTGAACTCGGGAGTCGGGATCCTCTGTGCTGCTCCGAGTTATTTCTCGGATGTCCGAGAAACGGGAGCGCATGTAGTCACTTCCGGCTTCAAAACTCCAGAATGCAACTCCGAATACAAGTTCCGAGGGGAAATGGAACGCACTAAAACTACCCGAAATGAGTTGACAGAGACATTTCAGTGATTTAGAATCA